GCTCAATCTTCATTTTGCTCAGCAGCGCCCTCTTGAGAGTATAAGGAAAATAATCCCAAAAACCAAGGAGGCTGCAGTTCCCAGCAGTCAGTGAGCGTATTTAAACGGTCTCAACACACGCACAGATCAATGTGTGAGGTGTCTGGAAGATAATGATGTAAACGGCACCAGAGCAACAGTTCAGAGCTTCTTTTGCCGTCGGCCAACTTGGTAATAAAAGTACGCACTGACAAGTACAAAAAGGAGGCAACTGCAGACGAGGACAGCAGCCGCAATGGAAGACGTTCCATTCTCTATCAAAGTCACTGTGGTCACTGCCAGAAAGACAAATATATTTAGCACAGGGTCAGAGAAATATATTTCAGCACAAGTCTGGAAAGTAAAAGCAAATCTCCCTAATTAAATTTGAACTACAACCATCCTGTCATTTTCCACCCCAGCCATAGGTTACCAGAGAATAATGGATTGGGTTTATGTGGTGGGGAGGTAGTTCCACAACTGCTGGAAATCAGTTTGGCATCTCTAGAATGCGTAATACTTTGAAAAAGCTGTGAAATAAAATTTTCTTAGATACATTATCCCCCTCTATGTATCACCCCTGCCCCGCATTGTAAATAGGGTAGAAAAAGTTATTTAAAAAAATAAATAAAAAAAAATAAAATAAAAAAAACACACAATACAACACAACTAATGCCTAGCTAAACATAACCGCTATTGACTAATTCTCTATTTTTATTAAGGTAATCATACAGGCTGAGGCAGCTCAATTTGCCTGTTATGTATTGGAAAGCCAAGGAGTTTACCAATAATCTAATTTCAGATATTAATGTTGTTAAGCTGCAATTAATAATTGAAGTCAATCAAGCAGGCAAGTCTGAAAGTACACAGTTATGGTCAGTACTAAATAAACTCAGCTCTTTTGTTGTTGCCATATCTGGGAGGGAGGGAGGGAAGAGAAGAAGGGGAGGGAAGGGAAGAAGGGAAGGGAAGGAAAGAAGGGAAGGAAAGGAAAGGAAAGAAGGAAGGAAGGAGAGAGACATTCCATTGGTCTCCACGATGATTGCTTCAAAGAATTCCTCCAGATCAAGAAACTACCTCCCATATCATCAAATTGCGTTGCCTCAGCTTGAATGAGAAGCTTCTCCAAAAAGAGTCATGCTAGCCACAAGCAAAACAAATGCTTGCAAAGGGACAACATTCATAATTTTTTTTGTGTACAAGGGGACATCACCAATAACCACTCACCAATGAGTTGGATGCTGAAGTAGCAGGCTTCAGTCAGAAGTGTCCATCGGATGATTACCTTCTCAGATGTATACATGGAATTCCATATGATCAGAGAGATACCTACAAAACAAATTAGGAAGTCAGTACTGAAATCCTCCCCTGTCAATGTCATTAAAAACAATTGATATATTTTTTTATGGAAATTAGGCATGGTCAAGGAGTTCCAGGGATTTTTATTTAGAAATGTGCTAAAACTCAATAGGAAAATGATTGGACAGAATTTAGAAGACATGCTGAATAGCCGATGGCGAGAAACTGGGGTAAGATCTCATTTCTAATCCTTTCAGATATCACAATGCTTTTTGAAACCATAACTCATAGGATTTTAATGATCACCTTAAGAATTCTTGGACCCCGATGTTACAATTCCTTACTGGTACAAATTTTTTTTGGGCAGATCAAAGAGCACCCTCAAGCATAGACTAATTAAATTAGCTGAACTTTGGATGTGTAGTAAATAATTCCCTACTAGATATATTCACTAAACCTGGCATTAAACAGAATATACAGTATGATTGACCAAAATGGCCCAACTGAGAGAGAATATATATATATATATATATAGCCATTTTCACTTACGTTTTGCAGTTTTCTTGTCAACTGATCAGAAGTCCTGCTACTATATAAACCCTACATGAATGTACCACCATTATGCTGAGGATACACAAGTTAACCCTTGGAAAGTGTTCGTCTTAGGTCTGTAAGACGAGTCTACTTACTGAATAGGGCCCCTCCGTATAGACGCGTCGACGTTTTGCTGCTCACTGTACCTCCATCAAAAACCGCTTCGTACAGCTGATCGGGGAAAGTTAGAGCCTGCAGGAGCAGAAAGCAGAAGATAAGATCTCACCACTTTGAGATACAGATAAGAGTTAATACGTTCACTGAAGACGTTTCCACCGGCATACAGCAAGAGAAATGCCCACTCTCCAATTCAGCCGCGATTTCAAAGTTCAATGAATCTCTATTATCTTTCATTAGAAGAGCGAGGTTGTGTCAATTTGGAGTCTGGCACTCCACATGCAGGCACAGTGTGAGAGCGTGAAATCGATGCAACAAGGAACGCTTTCTGTACTGAGAAATGATGCCTGGAAATACAAAGCACACAATGTATCCTGCAGGACACAGAGTGGCAACAGCACGCCATTTTTGTCGATGCAGCACTCACAGCTGGCTCGGATGCCAGAGAATAAATTTATTAAGGGTGAAATTATTCTGTTCCCAATGCAGCGATGGCGGCATCAGAGTTGGCCACAAGCACGGTCCTGCTAATGAAACTAAACCAAAAGCCACACGTCTGCCACGGATGAGAACTCTAAAGAGCTATCTTGTACAAAGCTTAAAAGGCGGTCCTTGGGCACATTCTGTTCCAGATTCCAAACTGTATCCTATCCGGCTAACAGAGTTATTTACTGAAGTGAAAATTCAAAGTGAATTTCAAATTGAAGGCCAGTGTAGCTCAACTGAAAACAAAGCTGATCAAGAGAATTTTCTTTTTTCTTTTAAACAGGTCAGCAACTTTGAACGTCAATTTGAAAATCACTTTGAATTTACCTGGAATTCTCACTATAGCCAATAATCCCGTGATTTAAATAAGTTTTGAAATTAAGGGACTTTTTTTTTATTGCAGTCAAATAAATTGAAAGTCTAGTATTTTATTACTACTGTTGGGAAGAGTCACTTTACAGGGAATGGCATTTTGTAATAGCAAGGGAACCCATTAGCCAATGCCTTTCTGTATATTCTAAAGGGTTTTATCACTAAACAGAGCTATTGTGAGTTAATTTGTTTAGAGTCTAAACAAACTCTCCATTTTAAAAAGGACTGCACCCAAGTTTTTCTACCTAGTTGCCAGCTCACTACTTCGCGTCCAACCAAAACCAATATTTATCGTCCAGTATTATCTTACCGTGGCACGTTGGCTGAATTTGAATTAGATTTTCTTAAGGATGTCAAAACATCCAAGGAAGGACAGTTCAAAGACATATGGTCTGCAACAGTTATTATATTATGCAAAATACTGGCCCAGATTGTTTACCAAACCTAGGACAGTAAACGTGGGATTCTGGTAAAAAGTAGGAGTACATATCTGAGCGGCCGTGTCTGTATGCAGTTTTGGGCAAGTTACCCTATGTTGCCACCACAAAATCCTTCACTATATTTGACATGATGTCCTCCCTCACCAAATCCCAACCATAATTGGTCAAGAAATCACCAACACACAACCCTTTATTATATAGAATAAGAAGTTATCACCACCAAACCCTTACTGTACCGGACAAGAAAACCACCACCACTAAACCTTTTATTGCATCAGACATCACCACCACCAAACCCTTACTGTACCGGACAAGAAAGCCACCACCAATAAACCTTTTATTGCACCAGACAAGACATCATCACCACCACCAAACCTTTTACTATATCGGACAAGAGGGCCTTACTCACCATCACGAACTATAACTGTACCAGTCAAGACATCACCACTACCAAACCTTTACTGCACTAGACAAGGCAGCCACCCTCTTCACCACCAAACCATTACTACTACTAGCGAACAAGACAACCTCTCTCACCACTAAACCTTCATTGCATCATACAAGAAATAAACACAGCCGAGCCTTTTCTGTGTCAGACAAGATGATCTCGCATGACCACCACCAAACCTTTACCGTACCGGACAAGGAATCCAAACTCAACAACACCAAAACGTTTTACTGGGAAAACCTTGTTAGGCATCGTCAGTGAGGCATAGCTGATATCTCCCTAGGCACCGTGAGCAAGGGGTCCACGTCTGGATTATCCCTTTAAACTTGTGGAGGGTCAAAAATGGGTCGCAAGAGAATACTGTAGGGAATAAACAGAAAAAGAAACAAATGCCATTCTACCTGTGTATGATTTACTGAGAGGACTGTAGATTAAAAAGTAACTTTTAATAAATAAATCTAAAATAAGAATATAAAAAAGAGAAAAATAATATGAACAGCAGGAGAAAATGGAGACTATACAGCGAGTAAAACTCTGTGACTACTTATATAAGCTGTAAAAGTGTATACATAATAACACTAATGCTGAAGCAATACTGTTTAGCTACAATATAACATCAGTGTATTCCCAAGTAATAGAAGTGATACTGTATTATATATCACTAATAGCTGTAGCAAAAAGGGGGGGTGGAGATAAGACAACTGCTAAACCTGTGCTGTCAATAGTTCAGCTAAGACAGATTTCTGACAGACGGCGATTAGCCAGTTAAATATCACTAAAGCTGCCTAGATCATAGCAGCATTTTGACCTATTATTTAGATGCAGCTAGCATTTAGGCAACTTGTGTGATTTTTAACCAGTTAACTGCTGCCTGTCAGCAGTCCTTCACAGGTGAGCTACTACTTTGTGCTCCACTGTGGTCAAGCATAAGTTAACATCATTCAGTGCAGGCAGCTGTTGTAACACTAGAATATACTGCTAGGTATCTTGCAGGAAATAAACAGAGCCAGGTCAGCAACCCCTTATTTTACACTTTACTGCTTGACAGCAAGCTTTAATTTATTATCAAAATGCTGCTATGATCTAGGCAGCTTTAGTGATATTTAACTGGCTAATCGCCGTCTGTCAGAAATCTGTCTTAGCTGAACTATTGACAGCACAGGTTTAGCAGTTGTCTTATCTCCACCCCCCCTTTTTGCTACAGCTATTAGTGATATATAATACAGTATCACTTCTATTACTTGGGAATACACTGATGTTATATTGTAGCTAAACAGTATTGCTTCAGCATTAGTGTTATTATGTATACACTTTTACAGCTTATATAAGTAGTCACAGAGTTTTACTCGCTGTATAGTCTCAATTTACTCCTGCTGTTCATATTATTTTTCTCTTTTTTTATATTCTTATTTTAGATTTATTTATTAAAAGTTACTTTTTAATCTACAGTCCTCTCAGTAAATCATACACAGGTAGAATGGCATTTGTTTCTTTTTCTGTTTATTCCCTATGATATTCACCATTTAGGGGTTACCCCCCTTTTTTGTGCCCTCTACCTTGTGATATCTAAATTTTGGCCCTAGGTTAATTCTTTTTGTTTTCCTCGTATAGCAAGAGAATACTGAGAACGGACAGCAGCTGAAATAGCCTGCCCTTCGGTCGGTCACCGCTCAGTTCTCAAGCTGATTTTTGCTCATCTTGTGCCATTACAGAGAGAACATATCTGAAGCATATCAGACTGGTCCCACCCATACGGGCAGTCCAGACCCGAAATGCCAGCAAGTTCTCTCTGCACGAGAGATACAGCAACCCCAGACGATTGTTTCAGCCTTGTTAGGCATCGTCAGTGAGGCATAGCTGATATCTCCCTAGGCACCGTGAGCAAGGGGTCCACGTCTGGATTATCCCTTTAAACTTGTGGAGAGTCAAAAATGGGTCGCAAGAGAATACTGAGAACGGGCAGCAGCTGAAATAGCCTGCCCTTCGGTCGGTCCCCGCTCAGTTCGCAAGCTGATTTTTGCTCATCTTGTGCCTAACAAGGCTGAAACGATCGTCTGGGGTTGCTGTATCTTTCGTGCAGAGAGAACTTGCTGGCATTTCGGATCTGGACTGCCCGTATGGGTGGGACCAGTCTGATATGCTTCAGATATGTTCTCTCTGTAATGGCACAAGATGAGCAAAAATCAGCTTGAGAACTGAGCGGGGACCCACCGAAGGGCAGGCTATTTCAGCTGCTGCCCGTTCTCAGTATTCTCTTGCGACCCATTTTTGACTCTCCACTGGAAAAACCATGTACCATTTGAAATCAGATTCTAGTTTTGCTTAGTTTGTAAGGCAAGGCAGCCACATGATAGAACTTGTTTAAATAGGACATATCATTCATTTTATAGGAAAGCTCATTACCACAAAACACTGACACTAATCAGCTGTGAATGTAAAAATATTCAGCGACATCTATGATAATGCCATTCATACAACATTTGCAGCATTTTTACATATTACCATTTCACTTGCATGTAACCCTTTCACTGCCAAACTATTATATACAGGTTTAATCACAAAATTGGACATAACATTTCACCTAGCCTTAAAGGGACACTATAGTCACAAGAACAACTACAGCTTATTGCATTTGTTCTGGGTGGGGTATAATCATTCCCTGCAGCCTTTTTTGCAGTGTTTTAGAGGTGGTTCCTAGGGCAGTGCTGAACAGTGAGTAGCACTGCCGTTCAGTATCTCCCCACCTCTGCATGCAGATACTGAACTTTCCTCATAGAGATGCTTTGATTCAATGCATTTCTAAGGAGATGCTGATTGGCCAGCAAGGCATTTGGCCCCACCCCGAACCCATCAGTTTAGTAGCTCTGAACTCTCTCTAAAGGTATCAATATCCTTCTGAAGATACGGTCTCCAGTACTGTGTCCAATACTCCAAGTGAGGTCTCACCAGAGTTCTGTACAATGTCATGAGCACTTCCCTCTTTCTACTGCTAATACCTCTCCCTATACAACCAAGCATTCTGCTAGCATTTCCTGCTGCTCTATTACATTGTCTGCCTACCTTTAAGTCATCAGAAATAATCACCCCTAAATCCCTTTCCTCATATGTTGAGGTTAGAACTCTATCAAATATGCTGTACTCTGCCTTTGGGTTTTTACGTCCAAGATGCATTATCTTGCACTTATCCACATTAAATGTCAGTTGCCACAACTCTGACCATTTTTCTAGTTTACCTAAATCATTTGCCATTTGGCTTATCCCTCCTGGAACATCAACCCTGTTATGTATCTTAGTATGATCAGCAAAAAGACATACCTTACCATCAAGACCTTCTGCAATATCACTAATAAAAATATTAAAGAGAATGGGTCCAAGTACAGATCCCTGAGGTACCCCACTGGTGACAAGTCCAAGCTTCGAATATACTCCACTGACTACAACCCCTCTGTTGCCTTACCCATTCAACAATATTGGAATCCAAACTTAAAGATTGCAGTTTATTGATAAGCCTTCTATGTGCAACAGTGTCAAAAGCCTTACTGAAATCTAGGTAAGCAATGTCTACTGCACCACCCTGATCTATTATTTTAGTTACCCAATCAAAAAATCAATAAGATTAGTTTGGCATGATCTCCCTGAAGTAAACCCATGTTGTCTCTGATCTTGAAATCCATGTGTTTTTAGATGTTCAACAATCCTATCCTTTAACATGGTTTCCATCACTTTCCCCACTACTGAAGTAAGGCTTACTGGCCTATAGTTACCAGACTCCTCCCTACACAGATGACATGCATAGAAGGTTATGTTATCATAGCATTTCCCTAAACCCTAGCTGAAAAAAAAATAAAAAAATGATTAGAGGTCAATCCAAAATTTACATGTTCATCCAATATTCTTTATTTTGGTTTGCTGGGTAAATTTTGAGGGAGAATTACTCTCCAAGTTTGCACTGGCATGGAACCTCTGCTAATATTTCAAACTATTATTGAATTGAACATCTTCTATATAAGAGGTTAAGCAGAACCCTTGAATTACAGACATTTCTTGCAAGTTAACTTTTATGGGAGGAAATAAAATACAAATACGGAGTATCCTTTAGCCAGGTGGTTTGTATTGGTCCTATATTGAAGTGCAAGCAGGGATCGCTGTTCTTTTAGCAGAACAGAAACTGTTAATATCAAACAAAATATTATGCTGTCCGGTAGACACGTTCGCTTGAGCATTTAGACCTGCACAAAAAGGTCTAGAGGTTTCAATAATAATTTTTTTAAGATTCACTAGTGGCATCATCATCATGCTAACTGCTACAACTAGAGAAAATAGGTGTAGATTGATGGCAAAATAGAGGAATGCATTTGTTAAACTGGAAATTACAAGTAGCAGAAAAGGAAAAGAGGCAAAAAAAAGCGGTCTGAAAATTTTGCCATTAGGGTTAGCTTCGTCAAAACAGTTAAACAGTTGATAATTTTCCCCAAGTCCCAGTTTAGCAATTAAACGCCGTAGTTTGGCGAATACAGCACCTACAAGACTGATTAATTACAGTGCTCTATCTTACGGTTAACAGAAACTGAAAAATACCCCCCACTTATTCCTTTATCATTTTGACACACACACAAAAAAAATGCTTCCATCTTGTGCATGCACCATCACAGATACTCTGCAGAGGAAGAAAATCAGCATTTATAACCGAGAATGCAGACAAATGTAGCATAATCTCTCTCCCAACCCAAAAAGCTGCATGAATTTTATAGGACAAACCCTAGAGGGAGGCAGGAGGAAGGAAAGAGAACGTGTTCCTTGTCTCTAAAACATGCATTAGCTGAGAAAAAGAAAAACTATTGAACTGAAGATAAAGAAATATCAAGTACATCGAACTGAAAGGGATTAAATGGATGTAAAGTAACTGGGGAGAATAACTAAGGAACAAGAGAACAGAAAATGCCAGAACTCGAGGCGGACAGAAGGACTGCTGAAATCTCATGAAAGCTCTTTCACAGCGTTTTTTTTTTTTTCTGCAGACAGATCCTTTGGTGGGAAAAGCAAGTTAAAAAAATATTCAAGCCTGGACAATTTCACATTTAGTAAAAATAAAATAAATAAATGATTTTCCGAATTCTTAAAGCTTGCCCCCTCGTATCATGTTGCGTCCCATACCAATCTAGCTACTTAATGTGTTAAGGTAATATTAAAAGAAAGGTTTTAAAATTTTGGCGAACGGACAGCTTAAAGTTATTTATCCTAAAGGGTTCAGTGAAAATAAATGATGCACTGAATACAAATTTGCAACTCTTGCTCTCTCACGCCGTGTGAATCATTTGCTTTGGATACAATATATAAATAGGTTCGTTAACTGCAACAACTTACCATGACTGCAATCCCGGTGAACATTACAGCCGAAAGGAACTGCCATAACCTGTTGGAAGAGAACGACGGAATGTCATGAAAATTGTATCAAACCAGACAATGTCTCTGCACAATTTGTATACAATGACTAACAACCTGCAGTTTGCAAACTTCTATTGGACTACAATTCCTATCATGAGTGACTGAACAGGTTGATGGGTGTGCAGTTCAGCTCCTTTTAGCGGTTTGCCAGAATGGCTTTAATTAATTTCAGGTCTCCAAACAGTGTGTTACATTTAAACATTAATGTACCGAATCAAAGGACGATGGGAATTTCAAATTTAAGCGAAAACATAGCTAAACTGGATTCACTCAAGTCAGTCACACTTCCAAGCCAGAAATTTTTATTTTTTTTGAAATTCCCCGTGAATTCCTGACTATTTTCACTTCATTGACTATGATGTTATATCTGAAGCATAATAAAATGACAAACACATGCAGTTCCAACAGTAGCCAGATGGAGGCACTACTGAGCTTCAGATAGTTGATTTTCTCCAAAATTGACAAACTGATTCTTCACTTGGGGGAGCGTTAACTGCAGTGTACATTTTTTTACTTTCCCTCAAACATTTGTAACACGTGTTAAGGTCTCCAGAGCACTTGGAATTGGGATATAAAATAGCTTTTTAATGTAACAAAACCAATTACCATTACTGGAGTAGGCATGGAGTGAGTGGCAGCAGATTTGCATAATTCAATCTAATAGTTGAAGCAGAGCTCCACAGTTATCAAACAAAGTAATCTTTCCAAAATAATGTTTTTGGTTTTTTTTCAAAAATCCCAAAGGAAATCCATAGTGACAATATACTTTGTGGAGGAACCTACCTCAAACCCAGGGGTTCTCGAACTGCAAATTTGATTTCATTTCCTAAAACTTGACTGATCTGAAAGTAAATAAAGAAATGTGTGAGAGCATGGGGTGGCCAGCAGACAGCAAAGCTATGAAACTACATCTCCCAGCATGCCTCACCTGCCGATCGCTCAATACGCTTTAGGCTGAGCAAGGATCCGAAAAGGGATATAGACTGCCTGGCCTCATAGAGGTTTTCAATTGGTCATTATTCACATTTTATTTTTTTTAAACTACATTGTTTCTACTTTATTAAGAGTAATAGGTCGGTGAAGACTAATTGTCTACTATTAAGCACGGAGTCTCCTGTTTGATAGTCTGAGAGTTACCAAACGTACCATTTCTCTTTCGGTATTGTATGTTACTGGTGCTTGCTTTTTCCGTTTGGTCGACGCAGGTGTCCCATTTTTCTGTCTCCAAAATATTCTAATCAACATCCTGTCATCACCAAAATGTGAATAATGACGAATTGAAAACCAATCTGCAACTGCATCAGGCTAACTAGATTTTTCCTTTTCTACATTTATTTCTTAATTTTTAATCAGCTAATTTGGATTCAATTCACTTCTGTGTTCAGCGAATAAGTGTATCTGTGCTGTGGCATTGCTAGGGCTAACCAGCGGCCCTGTAGCACATATCAGAGTACTCCCAGTCTGAGTAAAGCTAGTTAGAGCGGCAGTAATGCATGCATCTTCGTTCGGCTTTTACGTGTATAAGTGCCTTTATCGCATTGACGTGGCTCTGCCTGTCTCCGGCGCTAGCTAAGGGGTTACGAAGAATGGGGGTGATGGAATTAAAGCCGACAGCATCTGCTGAAACTACGGGGAAGAAAAGAAAAGAAGGCAGTTTAGAGAAGATTAGAGGGAAACTTAACGGAGAATGGCATTAGTGCAAAAAAAATTTCCCCACAGAGCACAGCAGGATGACACGCGATAAAATAAAATAATGAGAGAAGATGAGACGTGGGAAACAGAAATAGCACATTAAACCGTGGAATATACCATGGAAAGCATTTTATTTATATAAAACTGTAATTTATTTTCAAATGTTGCAGTAATATCCATGGCCAAATAAATGAAAATGTATCTTTCATTAACCCTTTCTGCATCAGCAAGAGGCTAGGTAACATTTTCCCGGATTAGATGGACCACTGCAGCGGGTGACAGACACAACGAGTTTGGCTCTGCAACTTTATTCGTCTCCCATCCATCAAACTGACAGCGCTCAGGTGATTCTGTCTAATGGCCTAGATAACTGGCAGACCATTTACACCGCTCGGTCCATTACTTGACATGCCATTCACTTGTGATCACAACGTCCCATACTCCCCAAAAGCCACATATAGCCGTGACAATACAACAGGGATGTTGAGTTACTTGTAGCTTGGTTCACCGGGGTTTTTTTTAATATGAAAACGTCTCAGAAGCGTTAAATGTGGACTGAGCATCATGTGATGCGTAGTTTACACACAGATATCTGGGAGATCCAAATGTAGCCATGTGTGTCTAAGCGGACAATCACCCATCCGAATGAACAAGGTGGTACCCACTAGTTCTCCGTTGACAAATCCATGGCTTGTGTGCAAACCAAATAATTTGTTCTAAATAAGACATTAAAGAGCTGGGTCCTGTGAAACCCCCAGAAGGTGGATCAACCGCTTATAACCCAGATAATCCAGGTAATGTAAGAACTAGACAGCTTCAGGTGGTCTACCTCTGAATGAAGGTATCTTCAGTTGCATAAATATCTTTACTCACCTTTGACCGGTGAACCTCTCCATCATCATCTTCACCTCCCACGCCAAGTATCTTGCGTGTCTTCAATCGGCTAACGAGGTCAGTCTGACTGTGCTTCTTCATCAAAGGGGGAGGGGACTTGGTAGCCATGGCGGAGGAACTATAAGTCCAATCTACCTGCAGAGAGAAGAGGAACACAAAAATAAACCATACATTTTGAACTAATAAATGGTGATGACAGGATGTTGATTAGAATATTTTGGAGACAGAAAAATGGGACATCTGCGTAGACCAACAAGAAAAAGCAAGCACCAGAAACATACAATACCGAAAGAGAAATGGTACATTTGGTAACTATCAAACAGGAGACTCTGTGCTTAAAGGATCACTATAGTGCCAGGAACACAAACATGTATTCCTGACCCTTTAGTGTTAAAACCACCATCTAGCCCCCCTGGGCCCCTCATGCCTCCATAAATATAGTAAAAATCTTACTGTATTCAAGCCAGAAGCTGTAACTCTGCATGCTGTTAGACTCAGAAAAACAAGCAGTCTGCTGACATCATCAGAAGTGGTAGCCTGATCCAATCAGAATGCATCCCCATAGGATTGGCTGAGATTGACAAAGAGGCAGATCAGGGGCAGAGCCAGCATGATTCAAACACAGCCCTGGCCAATCAACATCTCCTCATGGAGATGAATTGAATCAATGAATCTCTATGAGGAAAGTTCAGTGTCTGCATGCAGAGGGAGGAGACACTGAATGTTTGGATGCATTTTAGGCAGCCATGACCCAGGAAGGATCTCTAACCGCTACCTGAGGAGTGGTCAGTGAAGTTATCACTAGGCTGTAATGTAAACACTGCATTTTCTCTGAAAAGACAGTGTTTACAGCAAAAAGCCTGAAGGTAATGATTCTACTCACCAGAACAAATTCAATAAGCTGTAGTTGTTCTGGTGACTATAGGGTCCCTTTAATAGTAGGCAATTAGTCTTCACCGACCTATTGAACTTCATAAAGTAGAAACAATATAGTTTTAAAAAAATTAAAATAAACAAATATATAACATAGAAAACAAAACGAAAAAAAAGTTGCCCCAAAAATAAAATTACTTCCTGTGGATCACATAAAAAAAGAAAACCCAGGGGGCGGGGCCTGACCGCCATGCTGGCCGGTCGCATGGCACAGCAGCTCCAGCAACTTTCAAAGCATTAATCTATAACAAGAAACTTTTTGCCCTACCCGACGACCTACGGAGGTGGGCCGGCACATGGGAGACTCTGGAACCGGGGAGAGGCTTGCGACTAACGTTTTAGTCCCCTGGAGAGATACGCACCGCTCCTTCTGGATGAGGCCTACTCAGGCGGTGAGCGAGACGGACGGACGGCCGCCGCCCGCTATCCTGCCCGATGCTGTCTGGCCAGACTCCCTTAGCTGAGCGGACCGGGCCCTGTTCCCCCCCCCCCGGACCGGCGGGGGTGATCCCGGCCCACACCCTATACGCTCTGCAGCCTCTGCTACCACGAAACACCCGGGGCCCAGAAAGACCGCCAACATGCAGACCAGGCCACGAGCCATATCTAAAATGGCGGCGCAGCGACCCTGCTGGCTCACACAGATACCTGCGGCTCCTACACAAGCCCTGTGAGTTTGGAAGGCGACTACAAGCGGACACATGCAGCCACCCAGATCTAATAGACAAACCCCCGGGCATGCTCAGCCTGCCGGCAGAGAATGCACATCACCTCCAAACCTAACTGCCAAACCGCAAGGAGAAGACACCAAACGGCTGGAGGAAAGCAGCTGCGACAAAATCAGGGGGACTTACCAACCTTCAGCAGCCACAAAACAGAACCCGGGCAGACAGGACTTGAGGAACCAGCATGAGTCTCAAAGCCTGCCCAACATCCCTCCGGGGAGCAGGAATACCTAACTGCACGCCAGCGAAGGTGTGGGGTGCTCATACAAGCTACTACTCTCAGGACTCTAAGTATATGCTAAACTATGTTCCAAGCAATCGCAACCGCAAAAGCAGGATAGAATGCCCTAGCAAAGTTAACCCATGAGTAATCAGTCACTTAAAACGGGTGCAAGTATCACCTAGTACCTTTACCCTGTATATTCACATTTTAAGCTGTACCTGTATTGACACAGCATAAAAACCTTATGTCTAACTAGTACAGCGATGTTACTTTGTTACAAGCAAGATTTAGCGAAGTTCACCAAGCATGTTAACCCATAGGTTACAGGATTAACCAGTTCACTAAATGACCAAACGATGAGAATAGCAGATTTCCCGTGTAACCAGGTTCTGTAACTAACAAAAAAAAAGTGCTATGGACGAATGCCATGATATTGTGAAATGTAAAACATGTACTACTTCATTGGCTTGGACTAGCTATTGTGGCTTGACAAGCGTGTGTGTAAAACCTAAGCACTGCAAAAATAAAGAATTCAAAAAAAAAAAAAAAAGGAAAACCCAATTCCATACATCAATAAATAAGAACAAAATATTCTCAATATTCTCAAGACCTTGTCATCCAAACATATGTAGGACAAGAAAAACAAAACAAAAAAAAACCAAACTTTTTTTTACACATGGCAAAAGAATAGAATGTTATTTAATGGAGAAACACGAACCCTCCTTGAGTATGGATCCGGGCAAAAAATAAATAAATTAAAAAAAACACTAACAAAACCACTACAGACTGAGCGCAGCCTGATGGGAACTATATATCTCTGTACAGAGAGAATAGGTTAGTAAATATCTGTCAGTTTACAAATATTTAAAAAAAAAAAAATACATTTTGCTCAAGGTATCTACAGCAAAAAAATGCCTTGATATGATCTGTCTACTCAGAATTTTCCCTCAAACATTTAATAGCAACAAAAAAAATAAAATAAAATAAAAATTCATGTAGAAGAAGAAAAAAAAAATGTCAAGGGATGAGATTGGCTTTAGATGCTAAGGGTACTGCTTTAAATTTATACTTTTACTTATTCAGATACTGAAGAGCCAGGCTGATCTGAGCCATGGGAGTCCTACGGCTAGAAGCAGAATGGATTTTGATGTAGTCTGTGCTCTGTCCATTATCTTGTCTCTCACCACGTGGTGGGTTACTCTCACTGTTCTTGCGTGTTTTAGGATCAGGCTGATACTTTGGGATATATGAATGTTACGACTGCTTGCTACATTCTCAGAAGTACATCTTATTATCAAATAGAAATTCTTCTGCTTTTACATTTTTATACGGTCCACGCGATCGTGGTATCTGATATTAAAAAGGTAATCAATCACTTTTCTGGACGTTTCGCCATTGAATGGAATATTTAAATCTCATAACTTGTGTTAACCATTTTTTTAATTCAGTGGTCTCATTGACACTTGGAGAGCTAAAACTTGCAATGGCAAACTATCAGAAATGGACAAGATATGTTTCTACACTATATTACAGACTAATGAAACAAGTAAGAGATGATTCATGAACCATTACATGTTTCCTACCATAGGGAGGTATATAATGGATGGACGGGTGCTGAGCCAAAAGAAGAAGTGAGGCAGGGATGTTGGTCATTATTAGTGATGCACATCAGTAGGTGTGCTTATTTGATTGAGTGTCATAATGGCTACAAATGTGCAGAAATACCCAGCATTGAAGGAGGTTTACTGATGTGCTGGTGCCGCACTGTTTAGGTGTTCTTCTGGAGACACCAGAGAAAAATACCTGGGATGGTGAGTCAGAGGACACAAACGAAGACTGTTCTGCCAGATCTGGGACTGTTGGAAGGTATACATTGAGAAGGCAGTTATAATGGTAGTAAAAAATAAATAAATAAAAAGAAAGAAACACACACACACACACACCTTCAAAAATCAGATCCCAAATTTATTTCTAAAATCAGACTCCAGTAGAAAAGAACAAGGTCCACAAAATAAACACAGGGAGTGGCTGAAATCTTGTGGCCGATCTCTGGCCAACCATAGTGATCTGTAAATAAATTACGGAACATGTGTAAAGCCCCACAATGCACCTGTGATTTTTATATCCCATTCACAAGAAAAAAAAAAAAAAAAAAAGAAAACGAAAACCTCATAACACGCAAACATGAATAAGAGTTACTCTCTCAAGTGAAAACAGAGGTTGCCAGCGGCAGACATTTACTCAGTCATATAATTATTTTTTGTTTTGAATGAAAAAGATGCAGATTGCTCATTCAGAAGTTGAACATTTTGATATTTTAACAGTGAGAGACAGAACAACAACAAAAAACGCATGTCAAAAGTTATCAATTTATTTGCATGTGAGTGAATGAAATAAGTATTTCACCCCTTCGACTTAGTACTTGGTGGCAAACCCCTTGTTGGCAATCACAGAGGTCAGACCTTTCTTGTAGTTGGCCACCAGGTTTGCACACATCTCAGGAAGGATTTTGTCCAACTCCTCTTTGTAGATCCTCTCCAAGTCATTAAGGTTTTGAGGCAGACGTTTGGCAACTCAAACCTTCAGCTCCCTCCACAGATCTTCTATGGGATTAAGAGCTGGAGACTGGCTAGGCAACACCAGGACCTTAAGGTGCTTCTCCTTGAGCCACTCCTTTGTTGCCTTGTCTGTGTGTTTTGGATCATTGTCATGCTGGAATACTAATCCACGACCCGTTTTCAATGCCCTGGCTGAGGGAAGGAGATTCTCACCCAAGATTTGATGCTACATGGCTCAGTCAATTGTCCCTTTGATGCGGTGCCGTTGTCCTGTCCCCATAGCAGAAAAACACCCAAAAAGCATAATGTTTCCACCTCCATGTTTGACGGTGGGGATGGTGTTTTTGGGGTCATAGGCAGCATTCCTCCTGCTCCAAACACGACGAGTTGAGTTGATGCCAAAGAGCATGATTTTGGTCTCATCTGACCATAACCCAGTACTCCTCTGAATCATTCAGATGTTCATTGGCAAACTTCAGACAGGCCTGTACAGGTGTTTATTTTTAGCAGGGGGACCTTGCGGGAGCTGCAGGATATCAGTCCTTCACGGCGTAGTGTGTCACCAATTGTTTTCTTGGAGACTATGGTCCGAGCTGCCTTGAGATCATTAACAAGATCCTCCCATGTAGTTCTGGGCTGATTCCGCACCGTTCTCATGATCATTGAAACTCCACGAGGTGAGACCTTGCATGGAGCACCAGACCGAAGGAGACTGACTTATTTTGTGTTTCTTTAATTTGCGAATAATTGCAGCAACTGTTGTCACCTTCTCACCAAGCTGCTTAGCGATGGACTTGTAGCCCATTCCAGCCTTATGCAAGTCTACAATCTTGTCCTTGACATCCTTGGACAGCTCTTTGGTCTTGGCCATGGTGGAGAGTTTGGAATCTGATTGATTGCTTCTATGGACAGGTGTCTTTTCTACAGGTAACAAGCTGTGATTAGGAGCACCCCCTGTGAGAGAGTGCTCCTAATCTCAACTTGTTACCTGTAGAAAAGACACCTGGGAAATCAATTTATAACTTTGATTTTATTTTTGTTGTTATTCTGTCTCTCACTGTTAAAATACACCTACAGTTAGAACTGACGACTGATCATTTCTTTGTCAATGAAAAAAAAACAAAAAACATTCAAAATCAGCAGGGGATCAAATACTTTTCTCCCTCACTGTAGCTCCAACTTAATAACTTTTTTCCCAACCTGACTATTTTGAACTTCTCCTTGAATTACATTCCGTGTAATTCAAAATCAGCAGGGGATTAAATACTTTTCCCCCCTCACTGTATAGCACTGCAAATAAAAAAAGGAAAAACTATGAAATCGTTCCATATAGGAACTTTTCAGATAATAAAAATTTGCACTGCAAAAGTGGAGTAATCACCATAGAAACCACTGATTGATTTAACCAATTTTAGTATAAATCTCCACTTTCTTAAAGGACCACAAAAGACACCCAGACCACATCATCTGACTAAAGTGGTTTAGGTGCAGTAGTCATTTAGCTTTAACCTTCCAATGTGAAGCATTGCCATTTAGTAGATACAGCAAATCATTGCAGGGTTTACACACCTCTAGTGGCTGTCTGACAGGCCCTTGAGGTGCTTCGGCTGTGAGAATGGAGTCAAAACTCTTTTCTCACAGCCAACATCCAATAGAGCTGGCCGCGCTTGCACTTTTCGTCTCCAATGCTCCTCTATGAGAATCACTGGATTGGATGTCTATAAACATCGGCTTTAAACATAGAAACATAGAATGTGACGGCAGATAAGAACCATTCGGCCCATCTAGTCTGCCCAATTTTATAAATACTTTCATTAGTCCCTGGCCTTATCTTATAGTTAGGATAGCCTTATGCCTATCCCACGCATGCTTAAACTCCTTTACTGTGTTAACCTCTACCACTTCAACTGGAAGGCTATTCCATGCATCCACTACCCTCTCAGTAAAGTAATACTTCCTGTTATTTTTAAACCTTTGTCCCTCTAATTTAAGACTATGTCCTCTTGTTGTGGTAGTTTTCCGTCTTTTAAATATAGTCTCCTCCTTTACTGTGTTGTTTCCCTTTATATATTTAAATGTTTCTATCATATCCCCCCGGTCTCGTCTTTCCTCCAAGCTATACATGTTAAGATCCTTTAACCTTTCCTGGTAAGTTTTATCCCGCAATCCATGAACCCTCTCTAACGTATCAATATCCTTCTGAAGATAAGGTCTCCAGTACGGTGTACAATACTCCAAGTGAGGTCTCCCCAGTGTTCTGTACAATGGCATGAGCACTTCCCTCTTTCTACTGCTAATACCTCTCCCTATACAACCAAGCATTCTGCTAGCATTTCCTGCTGCTCTATTACATTGTCTGCCTACCTTTAAGTCATCAGAAATAATCACCCCTAAATCCCTTTCCTCATATGTTGAGGTTAGGACTCTATCAAATATTCTGTACTCTGCCCTTGGGTTTTTACGTCCAAGATGCATTATCTTGCACTTATCCACATTAAATGTCAGTTGCCACAATTCTGACCATTTTTCTAGTTTACCTAAATCATTTGTCATTTGGCTTATCCCTCCTGGAACATCAACCCTGTTACATATCTTAGTATCATCAGCAAAAAGACATACCTTACCATCAAGACCTTCTGCAATATCACTAATAAAAATATTAAAGAGAATGGGTCCAAGTACAGATCCCTGAGGTACCCCACTGGTGACAAGTCCAAGCTTCGAATATATTCCATTAACTACAACCCTCTGTTGCCTGTCACTCAGCCACTGCCTTACCCATTCAACAATAGTGGAATCCAAACTTAAAGATTGCAGTTTATTGATAAGCCTTCTATGTGCAACAGTGTCAAAAGCCTTACTGAAATCTAGGTAAGCAATGTCTACTGCACCACCCTGATCTATAATTTTAGTTACCCAATCAAAAAAAATATCAATAAGATTAGTTTGGCATGATCTCCCTGAAGTAAACCCATGTTGTCTCTGATCTTGAAATCCATGTGTTCAACAATCCGATCCTTTAACATGGTTTCCATCACTTTCCCCACTACAGAAGTAAGGCTTACTGGCCTATAGTTGCCCGACTCCTCCCTATTACCTTTCTTGGCTTTAACAGTGTTACCTCAATCTATAGCAAACCATCGTTTTCAATAATGATACTAAACTTTGACGTTCCTGCAAAAACTACACATCCCCAGCATCTGGGCCATCATATCATTCCTGAGTTAGCCTGCCCAGGGAGGTGCATATTGCCAGGGTGTGGGCCTACCCAATATATAAAAGCTTGTACATGCCGGTCTGTGTGACTCTGCTCTGCAATATTCCGAAGCAAGCACTGGGCTTACAATTTCACAACAAAGCTCTATTTACCAAGATTGAAGAGAATAGCCGTGGAGGCGGGGCCAGCAGTGCGAGATTAGCGCATGGATGGAGAAGAGGTATGTAAGCCAGACATGGAGATAGATAGGTAGTCTTACACTATAGAGTTCCTTTAAAGTGGTAAGCTGGTGCTAGGTAATTTTCTAATGCCAGGAAAACAAAACTGGAAATGTAGCCGTGCCTCCCCTCCCCCTAACCCCCCCTCTCCATTCCGGCACACTCCAATTACTGTCTTAACTATTTAAGTTTACAAACCACAGGGAGCTGGTTATCACACATGGACAGGAGCTCATATAACCGATTGTGCACACGTACTCAGAGATAACATTGGACAAAGAAAGTAAGCATGTTGTAGTGATCACAGAATCACACAGTTCCAGAACGGGTCAGAAACGCCTGGCCTCCTGTTAACCTTTTTGGCTGTACCCAAATCTCCCAGTTTTAAACAGGTCCAACGGTTGACTCATTCTGTTAACATGTATAGACTTTAGAGGCTTGCGTAATTCTGCTCCTCACATCATGTCTCTGCATATCAAGACAACTACAGCCAAAAAAACTACTTGCATTTTTCAGTGGAGACCACAATTTATACAACAAATATAAGGAACAGCGCACATATTACAATAGTTTTAAGTTTTACAAAGCTACTTAAAATCACCCATCTCCGCAAACAAACAGGAATGTATAAATTTGAGTATGTTCTGGATAGCAGCAACGTCACTTAAATATTAATTTGTATTTGATAGTGAGCAGATATAGGATATGGGTATCACTATAATGGTTTTGTTATATAGTTATAGTTGTTATAGTTAGTTATAACACTATATTTTTATCACATTAAAGGGAAACTCCAGTGCCAGGAAAATAAATCAGTTTTCCTGGCACTGCAGGTTCCCTCTCCCTCCCACCCCCCAATCCCCGGTTGCTGAAGGGGTGAAAACCCCTTCAGTAACTTACCTGAGGCAGCGACGATGTCCCACGTCGCTGCTTCTCCCTCCGCGCCGCTCCTCCTTCTGACTGCGAAGGCTGATGGGCGAGACTGATCCTGCCCACCGGCCAGGGAGACCTAATGCGCATGCACGGCAATGCCGCACATGCGCATTAGCACTCCCCATAGGAAAGCATTGAAAATACACTTCAATGCTTTCCTATGGGGAAATGAGCAACGCTGGAAGTCCTCACACAGCGCAAGGTTTCCTGTGGTAAGAACCAGGAAGTGCCTTCTAGTGGCTGTCTAATAGACAGCCATTAGAGGTGGAGTTAACCCTGCAAGGTAATTATTGCAGTTTATAATAAAACTGCAATAATTACACTTGCAGGGTTAAGAGTAGTGGGAGTTGCCACCCAGAACACTCCAATGGGCAGAAGTGGTCTGGGTGCCTGGAGTGTCCCTTTAACTTTGCATTATATATTCACAATGCTCTTACAACAGATTAAACACAATTTAGTTCATTTAGCGCGATTTCATTTCACGTTAAAATTTAGTGTAGTATCCACCGATACTGGGGAGATTCCACGCTGGAGATTTTTTATTTTTTTCCCCCCATTGTTACAGTTTGCAAACCAAGATTGCCAAATTGTAAACATTCAATTTCCCTCTGTTTCCAGGATGATTACAATTTGAAATTCACACTTAAGTGAATAACCCCGTTATTTTGCTTTGTCGTGGTCTAGTTTCCTGTGACAGTCATTTTCTTTCGAGAGAGTTTAAATTACAGCAATAAAACTGAACAAGGAACAGAGCTCATAAAGCCGGAATGTATATTATATACAATGGAGTCAAGTCACAAAGCTTTTATTCCAGGCAGAACACGGGAAGACATCCTACTCCTAACAGAATGACGTCTTTATTAAACAAAAAAGGAAATGTAAAAAAACATGCACAGAGAAAATATTTATAGCTTTTGCTATCTAGCTCCCACCCAAAATGCCTCGAAAGTATTTTAAAGGGACACTGTAGGCACGTTTACCATTTAATTTTATTGAATTGGTTATAGTGCCTGCAGTCGCTGTTAAACCATTTTCAAGCAGTATAACACTTCATGAGAAGCTCTGGCTTCCCACAGCTCCGGCCACTAGTGGAGATGTGGCTACGACAGAGATTATACTTCCTTCTAGCCATACAAATTCATACCAGCAATGTGATAGGCAGAAAGCAGTCAGATGACACTCTCAGCCAATCACGGCCACCCATTGCTCCTCAGGCAAATACTTCCTCATTAGCCTGAACAGCCTGGAGGGGGTGGGCTGCTGGAGACCATTTAGTGTTAAAAGATTAAAAAACGATTTAATGCTGAATGGAAGGACAGCACCAGGAGGCTGTAGACACTAAAAACACATCAGTGAGATTAAGAAGTTACAGTGTCTACATCATTCACATAATGCCACCCACATTGGCATCCTCGGAAAAACATATACCAAGCAGGCTACCTCTGTACAAGACATGCAGCAAGCTCAGATGGCCAATTGTAGCATTTAGACCTTGTCAGTGAGGTCAGGCTGATATAACCGTATGCAAAATGAGAACGGTTGCCTAATAGGGTATTTCCCATAGGGCATTATTTGTTTTACTATGTTTATTAAAAGTTTTAGCAAGTCATTATCCACAAGGCGAATTCTTTCTACAGAGATTGCCATGCCAAGAACACAAAGAACAGCTCATTTAAATACATCACGAAGATATACTGTAAGTTTAACCAGAACAAAAAGGAAGATAAAACCTGGAGGACCATTTATCAGAGCTACTACCTAGTGGGAATGCAATTCTCTTGTATACCCTTGTAGGGCAGCATGTACCTACAGTACTCCTACACATCATCCCTAGGACCCTAGCCTCTACAATTGTACTCGGCTCAACCCACCCAGGTTCCCCCTAAATTTATAGCATGCTCCTGCAACTGTTTAAAATTATCACTCACTTATCTCTTCATTCCCTCTATATTCTACCAATATCTGCAACTCTCTGTTTCCTTATTTAGCCACCACTTTAAAAAGTAAATACATTTTTAGAACAGTAAAACTGGTGCAGATGGAAACTGAGGCTTCTTGTCCCAAGAGTTTACAATCCCATAGATCTATGATCAGTATTTAAGCAGCTCTTGACATTCCATGCAATTCACGGCTTGCTGGCGTTAATGCAGAGACAACTGTTTATGGCTTGTGTACATCTACATTCGTTGCTTTACACATAATTATTGATTTAAAACATATTGATTTGTGCATGTGTGGCATAAATTGCAAAGCACACGTGGTATGCGTGCCCAGAAACCGGGACAATGAGAGACTAATGAGACTTCCCGCTGCTTCCAAGCATTGTGAGCTCAGGAGGATTACATTCCCAGTAAAGGGAATAATTAGACAGGGCGCCTCGGTTACCCCCTCCCTCATTGTGAATGCAAGATGCCAGGGTTTGGCAAGGCGTCGGAGCTCAGCATGCTGGCAGTGGGAGCCTTTAAGAATCAGAGCAGTTATATCTAAGCCAGTTTAATAAATATCCCAGTGTTTGCCCCTCATTCACCAGTATGTAACTGCCCTGGGGTGGGCACAACAAGCCTGCCCTGTAACAGATAACTTTAACCCTCACAGTGCTGGCAGTGTACTCAAAGTTAAAGGTTTGAGGCACACAAAAGATGTTCGATGAGATCCTTTATCAAGTAGGTATAGCAATGTAAAAAATACATTCTGCTGGCAAGATCAAATTAAAAAAACAACAAAAAACACATAATTACCATTTAGGAGAGTGTTTAACGGTTACTTGCAAGCACCATGACCATTTCAGTGATTTGCATTGTACATGGTGCTTGGGGTCTGCATGAGCCGTGTTTCAGTGCGATACACTGCAAATATACTGAAATTAACCCTCTGCTGCTAGAGGTGTTATTTCACCTCCTTCAGCGCCATTAGGGAGTCATTAGCCAGCCCGGAATAAGATTTTTGGGCTGGCTAATGTCAATTCTGTGCATTCTGGACATCTAATGTCAGTGCACACAGCAAGCACAACAGGCAACCAATGGTAGCACACCACGCCAACATGCCGCCCAAGTCCTCCACAACATACCTTACCCTTCAGTGAGAGAGAGTGTGTGACGTCTCTGGAGGAAGAACGTATTGCCTGGAGTAGCTGACCTCAGCACCGCAGTGGAAGTGACGTAGCTTTATTCTTTCCCCCCTTTTTTTTTATTCTTTCTTTTTTTTTTTTTTTTAAAAAGAGCTTAGTGGTGTACTAGCAAAACCATTAACAGATTTATTTAACCAATCATTGTTAACAGGACTAGTCCCAGAAGATTGGAAGTTAGCGAATGTTGTGCCCATTTACAAGAAAGGTAATAGGGAGGAGTCGGGCAACTATAGGCCAGTAAGCCTTACTTCAGTAGTGGGGAAAGTGATGGAAACCATGTTAAAGGATAGGATTGCTGAACATCTAAAAACACATGGATTTCAAGATCAGAGACAACATGGGTTTACTTCAGGGAGATCATGCCAAACTAATCTTATTGATTTTTTTGATTGGGTAACTAAAATTATAGATCAGGGTGGTGCAGTAGACATTGCTTACCTAGATTTCAGTAAGGCTTTTGACACTGTTGCACATAGAAGGCTTATCAATAAACTGCAATCTTTAAGTTTGGATTCCAATATTGTTGAATGGGTAAGGCAGTGGCTGAGTGACAGGCAACAGAGGGTTGTAGTTAATGGAATATATTCGAAGCTTGGACTTGTCACCAGTGGGGTACCTCAGGGATCTGTACTTGGACCCATTCTCTTTAATATTTTTATTAGTGATATTGCAGTAGGTCTTGATGGTAAGGTATGTCTGTTTGCTGATGATACTAAGATATGTAACAGGGTTGATGTTCCAGGAGGGATAAGCCAAATGGCAAATGAATTAGGTAAACTAGAAAAATGGTCAGAATTGTGGCAACTGACATTTAATGTGGAGAAGTGCAAGATAATGCATCTTGGATGTAAAAACCCAAGGGCAGAGTACAGAATATTTGATAGAGTCCTAACCTCAACATATGAGGAAAGGGATTTAGGGGTGATTATTTCTGATGACTTAAAGGTAGGCAGACAATGTAATAGAGCAGCAGGAAATGCTAGCAGAATGCTTGGTTGTATAGGGAGAGGTATTAGCAGTAGAAAGAGGGAAGTGCTCATGCCATTGTACAGAACACTGGTAAAACCTCACTTGGAGTATTGTACACAGTACTGGAGACCGTATCTTCAGAAGGATATTGATACGTTAGAGAGGGTTCAGAGAAGGGCTACTAAACTGGTTCATGGATTGCGGGATAAAACTTACCAGGAAAGGGTAAAGGACCTTAACATGTATAGCTTGGAGGAAAGACGAGACAGGGGGAATATGATAGAAACATTTAAATACATAAAAGGGAATCAACACAGTAAAGGAGGAGACTATATTTAAAAGAATAAAAACTACCACAACTAGAGGACATAGTCTTAAATTAGAGGGGCAAAGTTTTATAGATAATACCAGGAAGTATTACTTAAAGGACCACTCTAGGCACCCAGACCACTTCAGCTTAATGAAGTGGTCTGGGTGCCAGGTCCTTCTAGGGTTAACCCATTTTTTCATAATTATAGCAGTTTCAGAGAAACTGCTATAATTATGAATGGGTTAAGCCTTCCCCCAAAGCCTCTAGTGGCTGTCTCATTGACAGCCACTAGAGGCGCTTGCGTGCTTCTCACTGTGATTTTCATAGTGAGAGCACGCCAGCGTCCATAGGAAAGCATTATGAATGCTTTCCTATGTGACCGGCTGAATGCGCGCGCAGCTCTTGCCGCGCGTGCGCATTCAGCCGGCGGGGCTTAACGGAGGCGGAGAGGAGGAGGAGAGCTCTCCGCCCAGCGCTGGAAAAAGGTAAGTTTTTACCCCTTTCCCCCTTCCAGAGCCGGGCGGGAGGGGGTCCCTGAGGGTGGGGGCACCCTCAGGGCACTATAGTGCCAGGAAAACGAGTATGTTTTCCTGGCACTATAGTGGTCCTTTAACTGAGAGGGTAGTGGATGCATGGACTTGCCCTTCAGCTGAAGTGGTAGATGTTAACACAGTAAAGGAGTTTAAACATGCGTGTGATAGGCATAAGGCTATCCAAACTATAAAAAAGGGCCAGGGACTAATGAAAGTATTTAGAAAATTGGGCAGACTAGATGGGCCGAATGGTTCTTATCTGCCGACACATTCTATGTTTTTTTTGGGTGGCTAGGGATGATCGGAAGTGACACACTAGTCGCACACTTTTTGGTTAGAGTTACCCTTTAAGCGAAGTGTTAATGAGTATTTATAGTTTTTGGGGTTTTTTTTAAAATACTTACATTTCATTTTTAAAAATAAATAATTAGGGTTAGTATCTGCTTTAATGAAGATCATACATTATAATACATCAACTAAGCTCCATCGATGCATTATTCCAATGGCACAAATACATCCTAGACAGCTCCATCGAAGCCCTTGCATGAGCAGATAACATTATCCATGACCGATTAGGTTAAGATTTCATTAGGATTTAAATCCAACCACAGCCATACGCTGCTTACTGCGCAATGATTTACCCATTTTTAGGATTTGTCTCTGGGTTGCTAACCATTCTGAAAAAAAGAATCCAGTTACTGTGATGGGCAACAAAACAGAGAGCAAAGAAATAAAATGTAACTCCTTTTAGTGCAGAGATTGAAGGGGTTAATGAATTACCTCCTCCAAGAATCTGTTATCCCATCGTTGGGATATTAAAGAAGCGTAGGTGGCATGTCCATCAGCGTTAACAGAAGTTCAGCGAGAGTCAGACAGAAACGGCAAGGCGCCACCAGGAGATGAAAAAAAAAAAGAAAACTGTCGCTTAATTAAAGTCTTTAATTGCTTTTTTACCAGCCCCTCCTCTGCTTTTCCAGCTCTGCATAATATCTCCTGTATTTAATGGAGCAAGCTGATGTTTTCTCAGTTTCAAAGCTTCAATAGATCGTCGCTGGCGTCTCAACCAACAACAAACCAATCGTAGGCCCTTGGAGACGTTAATGGCGGTACACAAAGACAGAATAGACTTACAGGAGGTTTTTGAATTTATTCTTTATTACCAGACGGTGGGTGGAGGGGATCCAGCACAGCCCCCCAGGAATGCTATATAAAGTTTTTAATAAAAACAAATCTAAAATGTACCATCAGAAGTTTACAAGGTTTTCAGGATGATTTAGAGGAAAACAGCCCCTCCCCCCCCAATGATCTATATTGTATTTACTATTTGGTTTTAAACCAAGTGCGATGCCAACACAATGGAATGGAGATAGGACCTTCTCATGCTTTGTTAAAAGGGCACTGCAAACACCATAACCACTTCCCTGGGATGGTGCACAATCTGGTCCCATTATCCCATGATTAGAGAGAGATCTCAGGAAGGTCCAATCATTATCACTTTTTCTACGCAATCAACAGTCGCCGTATTCAGTGAGTATGATGGACCACACTTCAATATATTAAGGATACGCCAGTTTCCATGTGTCTTCTGCCTGTTATTAGCCAATTATCAAGTCTTTAGCCGCTGGAAGAAACAGGCCGTTACCTACTTCACCCAAAATGATTGTAAGCTTGTTTGAGCAGGGCACTGCTCACCGGTCTGACAATTTTTTTCTTTGCCAATTATGTGCCAATATATGAATCCCAATTATAAAAATGTGCAGGTCTACAGAATGTTGGAGCTAAAAAATGAGGCTAATATATGAGATTATAAATTCTATACTTCCAAGGTTTAACTGACTCAGCAGGAAGCTCCCTTTTTAAAATACACTGTACACAAATTATTTAAAAATCAGAAGGTTTATAAGAGGAAAAGTTAAAACATGAGTTGTTCAACTGCTTGGCAGTCAGAGAATTATGGCAAATGTAGCCCAACAGCTGGAGGACAAAGGTCGTAAATCCATATCTCACAGAAACTATTAGAATGCGCAGGTCGAGCAGAGGCGAATTATCCATGCAATGGTTTAGACAAGTAACAGAGCATAAAAAGAGAAATTTTACAGTGAGGCTTTTCAGCTTCTGCAATGAATTACTGCAGAGTATGCGCCAAGCGAGGCGAAGAACCACCTGCGTGACAGCAAACAAAGTACCGACTGATATAAAGAACATATTCATAAGAGGAAGTGATGGCAGGCAGAGAGATCAGGAGGGGGTGAAGACAGCAGAGTAGGACGGGCAATACGTAGAAAGATTGAAACTGGGGGCAAAGAGGGCCCTCAATCCATCTGTTCCTGTGTGTCCCCAACTCATCTGGTTACAAATGCGCGTCTGTTAGTCCACCCATTGCACAGCGCCACGGAACTTGTTGGCGCTTTATAAATAATAATCGATGCCGGTTGGTTCTGGTAAGTCAGACTCGTGGTACGCAAATGGTTAACTCAAGATATATAAGGGTATATTTACTAAAATGACAACTGCTGAAAACGGTGGAAAGAAATGACAGCTTTAAGGTAATGTTTACCAACTCTGCTATTTTAGACAAAAATGAGCAATTGCCAGTTTGGAGAATAATTCCCACAATCGTACTATGTTTAACCCATTTAGTGCCATGGAGCTTATCCACTGCAAGGATGCGATGAGGCCTTTATTGCTCATGGAATACATGGTATTTGAGGAGTAACACACAATACATACACTAGGCAAACTAATTGATACAACATGGTAAAGAACAAGGATAAAACGGAATGTATTTCAAAGAGATCGGGAGGAGGAGGAGTGGTTGTATCACAGAAGGAGAGAAGAAATATCAGGGTCAGAAATTATAGGAGATTGTGCTGTATACAGCCTTGCGTTCACTTGTCTGAAGAACAGCCCTCCTTTCATAGAGTTTAATTAGCATTGAAGATATTCTTTAAGCCAAAAAAAAAGTCATTATCATAATGCCAGCGTCGTCAAATGTTATTTGTTCGTTTAATTTGTGCAGCTGGGCTTTGATTGATATTGGAATTACCAAAATAGCTCCGTGCAAAGCGAAAACGAGCCGGCATCAAAAACCTCTGCAATGCCAACACACCATCCCCCACTGATCCCCTAAAAATAAACTGACTTCAGTGTGTGTTTGGTTAGGAAAAGGAGGTCCTGAGCGGCATGAGAGATGCAGTTTGACCAACTGAAGAGTCATTATCAACTGCAGTCCAAAAAAACTAAAGATTAAAATAGCAGGAGCGTAACAATTCACAAAAACAAAATTACTATTTAATAAACAGTTATTAAGCAAGATCATTCAATAGCGCACCTGCTGGTGCACAGCTCAATGCAAATTCACTTAGGTTTATTGAGGGTGTATTCTTTGAACTGGGTGCCAAAGACAACTGAATGACTTTCACAGCTGCAGTTGGTGCCAGGTGTTAAAAAGAGGAATTATATTTGGGGTATAAACTGTGCTTAATCACATTCAATGGTGTCTTCTTGCCTCTTATGTAAACAACTGAGAGGATGTATTCACACAGGTATGTAGCAAAGATAATTCATTAACTAAGGGGCAGCCGGCGCGTCTTCGATTAGACATTCTACGAGTAAACTTTGTTGAAATATGTTTGTAAAGCGATTTAAGAAGCATTAGGGAGACTGAGACCAATGAAATATTTGTTTATTCAAAAATTTAATGGATTTTTCTAATTAAATTCCCAAGTCACATTAAGGAAAGACATTAATTGTTCAGCAGAGGGTTAGTTTACTTTATATAAAATAACGCAGTCTGTAAAAACTGTTTTATAGATCAATGCTAGAATACATTACTGCAACTGGAAGACCATATTTAAAAAAAAAAAAAATAATAATAGGGGGCAGCCATTAGTGTTTTCTAATCTGCAGTCTCTGGTTACTGACAATTTAAATTCTGTGTTGTGATTGGCTGGAAGCATTAACAGTATATATTAAACTCCAAGCACCGTAACCACTACAGAGTGCTCTCCCAAAGTGAGCGGTCAATCTGTTTACTAGATGGTTTGACTACATACAAGGGGGGCGGGGATGCTCCGTAACCACTACAGAGTGCTATAGAGGTAATGGTGTTTATTTGAAATGGATCACTATTTTACTGCCATCTGTACCATGTGTACGACTATTTGTGTGGCCATCGGGCAGATCTATTCCACAATTATTATACGCCTTGAAAGCCTAGAGGCCATTTAGTTAACAGCAGTCTTTTAAAACAAGAGCAGACTTTAGCCACCAGATCACCAGCCTTATCCTGCGCAATATACATGTATATGTGCACACAATATATTGCAAATTATATATGAAGATATACCACATACTGCTCACACCGATGATATTAGAGAGGGTTCAGAGAAGGGCTACAATGTTGCATAATCTGTTCAGTATGGAAGAATGTATTCCTGCGCGATGACACAGTGAATCGCATAGAAAACAGAATTTTAACAGGAGATGGTAATTATTTGTCTCTATTTATATATCAAAGCAGGTTTTGTGGTTACAGAGCGAGATGGAGGGGGGAGGGAGAATATAATGAAATTACACACATTTGTCAATTACACACGGCCTCTCGCACTGCGCCATTAAGTGTAAATACCACTATCATATCTGTTCTTCTAATTGACTTAAATCAACAATCATTTGTGTCTGCATGAAATAAATTGTTTTTTTTCTAACTACAATAGATATTAACCCTCCAGTTGCCAGAAAGGTGTAACGAATTACACAAAAAAAAAAAAAAAAACTTACCGCAGCGCACTTTGAGCATTATGTATAAAAAAAAACAAACAAACACAGCTAAAAGCAAACCTCTAAAAAGGGGATTGGTGTAGCAGTAATATTCCATTGGTTTGCATGGTGACTGCTCGGCTTTTAGAAACGTTTTGCCATGAATTGCTCTTTATATATAACGTGCATGAATTGCCCCAGACAGATCCTGTCTGCGAGAGGAATCAGTGCTTTGGACCTTCAGCTGTAGAGCAATGCTGGCATATGGTCCACAGACATTTCCTCACAGATCAGAATTCAGACTAAATATTACATCCCACAAATATCTTGCATTCTCAGCCCAAACTTAAAATGGAATGTTTAACCCTTTCTCCCAGTATCTAAATCCAGAATGGAAAAGTAGCATAGAAAAATGGAGCTACACAATCAGTGAGGAGACAATCCTTTTGTTTTGAGTTGGGGGAAGAAATATCTATAGAAAGACTTCTATAAAAATGTTTTTAAAAATCCAAACAGAAGAAGAACAATATTTGAGGATCCCTGGTGTATTTTACTGCAGGAAGTTCCGCTTTGATTTGTCCCGTTTGTGAAGGTAAAGGACAGGACTCTCAAAGGCAACTTGGGTACCAGTTTTGGGTCAGATGCTGGATGAAGATTGGTAGTCACCTGCTAGGATCAGCGCCAAGTCAGGGGTTTTTCTTCAAGCCACCGGCAGTGTTTAGACACTCATGTAAAATAATAAAGTCAGAGGGGAATAACTTTGTAGCGGACTGGTGTAGCACGAGTATGATTTCCCCAACTATACTAGCCACCGTTACCATAACAACAGGTACCAGAATCTTAAAGGAACATTCTAAGCACTATAAAATCGCTACAGCACGCTGTAGTAGCTATGGTGCCATAAGTGAGCTGGCGACTCCCAATGTAAGTAGTCTAACAGTTTGCTCACAGTTTAACTTCTTACCTGGAATTCTCCGGCCGTTGGCGGTGCAGGGCTCAGCTCAGGAGAGCTAATGGAAGCTCCGCCACAGACAACCCTGAGCTAAATTTTCTGCAGATCAACGGACTTAGATCTACGTGAGAACGGTGATCGAATAATTTTATATATTATTAGCAGCTTTTCATGCAGATTCATGACAAATCTGGGGGAAAATGTTCCCAAGCAGCAAAAAGGGAATTCGGATCTGAATGTCACTGAATCTGAAGAAGAATGCGAAACTAGAGGAAGGAAATTATTCCTGAAACAAATAAAAACCTAAACCAGCATTTCCCCCCCAAAGCATTCTAAGAGGCAGAGGAGGTACAGGGTAGACAGGATAAGCTCTTCCTTTCCAATGTCACTTTTCCCAGTACTGACTATTATACAGCAGGAGTACTGTCCCCCGTAAGTACTTTTATTTTGTGAGGAGTCCAGCGCTGAAACAGTTAAATAATACAACACTCCCACTCAGCAGTTTGTAAAAGTATTCCATATTGTTACTATGCCAACCAAAGTATGTGGAAGTCACAAAGACCGGTTAACGCTTTCAGTGCTATACAGCTTACAAATAGTCATCAGAGGGAACACGCACTATTCTAATCCCATAAAAAAAAAAAAAAAAAATACCAGCTGAACTAATAAAGTAATCTGTCTGTCAATATTCACACCATATAAGGAATGATTGAGACGCTCTTTGGCACACGGTCTAGGACCCTGATGATCCCAGCTCTCTCCTGAGTTCCCCACAGACACTACACATTCAGAGCACACTTACATTGGAAGCCACCCTCTACGTTGAATGAAGCACTGATATGGCAGGATTTCCTTCACAGTGACAGGGATATTATTTTGGGACAGAAAACAGCCAGAATGCCTCCTCCCAGATTTCATGGCCTCACAGGGAAGAGCCCATTCCCTCCCCCCTAAAAACATTCCTCTCTAACCCACTGCAGCTCATCCTGCAATGGGAAATGTCAAGGCCATCAAACACCTAGCACAAGCTGTGCCAGCTCTGTACAGGCTGTCCTGGCTCTTGTCAGCACTAGATTGTTTACAAGACACCAACATGTTCTGTAGCGCTGTACAATGAGGTAATGTTGCTCAGTTGGATTGCTTTGTAGCAGGAACTGGATATATCTCACTAATATATTCTACAGCAGGGGTGCCCAAAAAGGTAGATTCCCAACTGATACAAAACTACATCTTCCATGACGCGTTGTCGTTCTAAATGTAGTGTAAAGGCGGGCAAGGCATCATGGGAGTTGTAGTTCTACAACATCTGGGGATTTACCTTTTGGGCACCCCTGTTCTATAGCATTATGGAGCCCACCACATTAAACTACTCCAGGCATCATTGTTGCAGCTCCAAATTATCCACTAAACACCAAGTTAACCCTTCGATAGAACTCACACACAGATTATAAACAAAGTAATTACGGTTACATCATTCTCTGACATTTCTTACACAACCTCACGAAAACATGCGTATTTAATAGATCTAAAACAGACAACTTTTTTTTTTTTTTTTTTTTTTAAATTACACTCCATCTGTTGTACAGTATATTCCCCATGGTGCTCCACAGCAGCTGTCGGCCAAGAGGTTACCCAGTGCGAATTTAAAAATCGTGTTCATCTTATTTACAAAAATAACCAGAATGTAAAAAAAATAAATACATTAAAAAAAAAAAAAAAAAAAAAA